CTCCTCTCCAGGGGAACATTCCCAGGGGCTCTGAGCTCTCCTGGATCCTTCTCCTCTCCAGGGGAACATTCCCAGGGGCTCTGAGCTCTCCCTGGATCCTTCTCCTTCTGTGTTTGCCACAGGCAGCCACGCTGCTGCCCCTGGATCCCTGGCAGTGCCCAGGCCAGGCTGGACAGGCTGGAGCAGCCTGGGACAGTGGGAGGTGTCCTTGCCACGGCAGGGGTGGCACTGGGTGATCTTTAAGATCTCTCCCAACCCAACCCAGCCTGTGGTTCTGCGATCTCTCCCTTTGCAGCTTTCCAAGAACTTGGTGCTTGTCCGGGAAGCTGCTCCTGCTCCAGATGTCCCGTGTCAGCCCCGAGACCTCCGGGCAGGATTTCTCCTGGTGGCTGCTGTGTCAAAGCTTTCTCAGCTGCTGCACCCAAACCCCTCCATCCTCCCACAGCCGCTGCCAGAGCTCTTTCCCAACCTGGCTGTGGGCTGGCACATTCCCACCGGCCCCACGGCTGCAGTCAGGACCCTTGGTGGTCCCTCACGGAGATTTGGCAGCGTGTGCTTTAAAGTTTGGCTTGTGCCGGTGTTCTCCTGCAGCTCCTGAGCTCCAGGAGCCGTTTCCACAGCACAAGGTGCAGAGCGATGCCAGATCCATGCAGCTCCTGCAGAACCCCTGAGGGAAACGAGATATCACAGAATCCCCCTCTGGGAAATGAGATATCACAGAATCCCCCTCTGGGAAATGAGGTATCACAGAATCCTGGAGTGGTTTGGGCTGGAAGGGACCCCAGGGATGGTTTTGTTCCACCCCCCCCATCTTGCTCCGAGTCCTGCCCAATCTGGAACACTTCAGGGCATATCAAAGCGTTTCTGCAGCAGAATAAAGAGGGTGATTTCTGCACCCCCCGGCTGTGCTGGCTCCGGGAGGAAAACCTCCCAGGGCTTTGTTCTGTCCCCCCGGCCCGGCTCTACCCTGCCCTGCTGCCGCAGCCTGGTGAGAGGTGTGGGGGAAAGGGAGAAAAGCCCTTTTTGCATCAGGTGGAGGGGCGGCAGATGGCCGGACCGCAGCAAAACAGGTGGGAGCATTGTGCGGTGACCCTCCGAATTAAGTGCGCTTAATTTGCTGTATCTCTATTAGCAACTGCGGGCTCCGCCTGTGCCTCCGCAGCCCCATCTGTGCCGGCCCCAGAGCTAAATCTGTCTGGGAGGCAGCTGGGAAGCAGCTGAAGGCTCTTTTCCCCTCCCGGGGGCGGCGGGCAGCGCTCTGAACCCGCGCTGGCCCCGCGGCTCTCCCGCGCTCTCCCGTTCTCCCGTTTCCCGAGGATGCGGGGTGCGGGGTGCGCGGCCCTGCCGCGGGGACAGCGCTGGCCGTGCCGGGGATGTGCCGTGGCCGCCGGCCCGGGCAGCCCGGGATGGAGCTGTTGTCCCTCCGTCAGCTCCCAGCTGGCAGCTGCTGCTGAACCTCCTTTCATCGCCTGCCAAAAGCGGCCGCGGTGTTTGTCTCCCCCCCTGCCCTTTAATCCCGACTTTCATCATTCTCTAGGCCGGGCCTGCCCTCCCCTCCTTCGGCGTGGCAGAGTCGGGGGTCGGGAGCCGTGTGGGGCTCAGGCTCCGCCGAGGGGCTCAGCTCTTCCCCCCACTCGGCAGAACCTCACCCCGAATGTTCTCTGGGCTGCGGGGCTGAGCTGCCCGAGCTCGGAGGCGGCTTGGACAGCAATGGGTTAACCCCAGGGATGTGGGAGATGCCCACTGGAGCCCCCGGTGGGGGAGGACGTCTGGGCCAGCTGCAGAGGCGCTTCCCGCACCTCAGAGCATCAGCTTGTTTAATTTCAGATTTTGGGAAGGAGACCAGCCGTCAAACAGCGGCAGTGAGAGGTGACAGAGCCCCATCCCTCCGGAGCCCCGGCAGCCGGCCAGGCCCTTCCCGGGGGTGCCTCGGGGTGGTCCCGGCCCTGAGCCCCTGGAACAGTGCCGGGATGCTGCTCCTGTTCCCTTGGCTCCTGCTGTCCCTCCTTGGGGTGCCCCCGATCCTCTCCCTCGTTTCCCTGCTTTGTCCTGTCCCAGGTGGGACCTTTGTCCAGCCCCTTGGCTGCTGTGGGAAATCTCGCTGTGCCCGTTTGCTGGGACACCCCTGGGCACCCCAGGCTGCTGTGCCAGGGCCACCGAGCGTTCCCAGTGCCTCTGGATCCGCTGCATGCAGAGCAAACGCCAGCTTGCACATTCCAGGGACGGCCTCTGCTCCGGGAGCCGCCGTGTCCCCGGTGCCACCAGTTCCGTGTCACCGAGCTGACCTGCGGTGCCCAGGCACATCCACCTTCCCAGAGCGGGGCATCCCGCCCCGGAGCCGTGCAGGAGCGGATCCCCGGGCTCTGGCAGCCAGGGAACCTCGGCTTGGCCTCCCCGTGGAGCAGGGCAGGAGCCTGGGAGTGCCCCAGGATCCACCCGCCCTGGCACCATCAGTGCCACATCCTCTCCAGCACCGGCAGCACAAGGACAAGAAGACATTTCCCCCGTTTTCCTGGGAGTCCCCCCACCCCTGGTGGAGCTCAAAGCGGGGTTCAGCTGCAGCCACCCCTGCTGCTGCTCGGGGTTTGGCTTTGGGCAGCCCGGGAGCTCACGGCACAGCCGGGAAGGGAAGCCCGGGCCCGCCTGGCCTTGGCTCTGGAGCTGGGCACGGTGCCGGCAGCTTTCTCAACCACCCAGGTCATGGGAGTGCAGCCGAGAGCCCGGCTCGGTGGCACGGAGCAGGGCTGGCACCTCCCCGGCACGGAGCAGGGCTGGCACCTCCCTGGCACGGAGCAGGGCTGGCAGCTCCCCGGCACGGAGCAGGGCTGGCACTTCCCCAGCACGGAGCAGGGCTGGCACCTCCCTGGCACGGAGCAGGGCTGGCACTTCCCCGGCACGGAGCAGGGCTGGCACCTCCCCGGCACGGGCATTCTCCTCCTGCGTGGCCCCAGCCCCTTTGCGGGCTCCTGAGCGGGGCTCAGCTCCCGCAGAGGTGGGAGGGCAGGGGGCTGGGGCGCCGGGGATCTGGGATGTGTTTATCCCGCACTCAGCACATTCCTGCAGCCCGCCGTGGTGCTGGAAGGTCGCCGAGAGGGAGCCGGCTCTCCCTGGCTGCGGCAGGAGCTCTGCAAACAGCGAGCACGAGTGGGAGCCTGGGAGTGCTCCAGTGGCTTTAAACTGAAGGAGAGGAGATGGAGATTGGAGATCAGGAGGAAATTCTTGGCCGGGAGGGTGGTGAGACCCTGGCAGCTGTGGCTGCTCCGTTCCTGGAAGTGCTCGAAGCCAGCTTGGACGGGGTTTGGAGCAGCCTGGGACAGGGGAAGGTGTCCCTGCCTGCTCCCCAAGGGAGTGGGACTGGAGGAGGTCTAAGGTCCCTTTCAGCCCAAACCACCCCAGGATTCTGTGATTTCATGGCTCACCCATGTCCCACCACCCTGGGTAAATATCTGAAATGTCTTTTCCTTCTGCTGAAGGAGACTTCCTGCTGGAATATCTTTTCCTTCCCCAGCCCAGCAAGTCCCTGCTCAGCTCCTCGTGCCTGTGGGTTCAGGGCAGCAGAAGGCTGTGCTGCTCCTGGCAGGGACGTTCCCTCTGCCCTGCATGCACCCTCCACCCCTTCTCCCTGCAGAATCAGGCGTTTTTCCCAGCCTGGCCATGCCGGGCACGCGTGGCAGCCCGGGTGGGAACCACCCGGCCGGGCAGCGCCGGGCGAAGTCCAGCCCGGGGACAGAGAGAGCCGCGCTGAAGTGAAAACAAACTTTTTCCATTTCTTGGCAGCGTGGGGCCATAAAGCAGCGCACCAGTGGCGCTTCCACGTGGGAACACTGTCCTGCGCCACAGGGAATCATTTTCCTGTGCCGTGCTGCCAACACCCCCCGGCCCGGTGCTGCCTCCCGCAGGGAATTCCCTGTTCCCGGGCGCTTGGCTTTCCCCGGGCCCGCAGGAGAGCTCCGGTGTGAGCACAGGGAGGGCCGGACCCTCCCCAAACCAGCCCCCAGGCGTGCCCGTGGGATCCGGGAACGGGGGTGGTTCAGCCTCCAGCCACAGCGACCTTCACTGATGCTCCTGCGGGCAGCGGGGAGCTCGGGGCAGGGATGTTAAATCATTATTCTGGATTCATTTTGTCTCCTATAAATGCGTGGAGTGGGAAGAGTGATTGGAAAGCAAAGAGGAAGGAGCGTGGAGTGAAGACCAGGGTTTGGTGGCTGTTGCAGTAGAGATAATGAAACCGAGGTGTTTATTTGGGAGCAGATTTAAATATATAAATTAAAATAAATAATATAAAATGTATATAATGCCTATGAGGCCCTATTTCAGAACTGTCTCCAGCAGGGAGGGACAGGACACAGGGAATGGCTTCACTGCCAGAGGGCAGGGATGGATGGGAGATTGGGAACTGGGAATTGTTCCCTGGGATGGAATTCCCAGAGCAGCTGTGGCTGCCCCTGGATCCCTGGCAGTGCCCAAGGATGAGGTTTGGAGCAGCCTTGCCTGGGTTCAGTCCCTGCTCAGGGGCAGGGACAGGACAGGGAAGGGAAGGGAAGGGAAG